ATTCCTGTTCTGTGCTATCGATGTATTTTTCTATCTTTACAGGCAGAAAATATTTATGATATCATATTTTAATGAAACTTGAAGTAAGTTAAAGTAAGTTCTTGACCATGTGTTTTTGCAAAATTGTTTTGGCTCTACCATATATTTTGGAATAAAGATAAGCATTGCTCAGTCTCTCTCAAATTTATTTTTATAGGAAATGTTTTAAAATGAATGGAGTGGTATGCTGGAAAATATTAAAGTCTTCTCATGCAGGCTTCCTACAGGTTCTCCTGTTATTGAGCATCTTAAGCAACATAGTACATTGGTATATTTTTACAAAGTTGCTGTTTGTAAATTATTATAAGCTAGCAAATTCAGATTTCGCTGTTTTCCATTATATTATAAAATTTCCATATTTACTAGTTAATTTATTCATAAATATTCAATTACCGAATCTTATTGGGTGATTTTTAAACCTCGAGGCACAGTGATAGGTACTAGGAAACTGAAATGAGTAAGACACTCCTATCTTCAGGAAGAGCAGTCTATTAGATGATTAAAAATTTAATAGTGCAATACGCAAATGTCATTTCAATTTGGTTTCCCAGAAAACATAAATAATTAAAATTGTATTTATCGTTAAACAAGGAATAATGAAGGTCTTCTGTCACAATGCTGCACTTAAAAAACATTATTCTTGAAAAAAAATGAAAGCTTCAGCTTTTTAAATGAATGTGTTGTTTTTAGATTTCTCCAGCTTTTCATTTCTATACCACAGAAGGCCATTATAATGTGGCAAAGCTTTCTGATATTATTTCTGTAAAAATCACATCATTTTACTGACAATTACAATGATTCTATTATTTGCTTTAACCTTAATTATTTTCTCACCTGAAAAATGATTTTTTATGTGTTTGATTGTTTCAGGGTGTCACTAAGCAGCTCAGACTCATAGTGATCCTCCTGCTTTCAGGCTCCCCAGCCCTGGGAGCATGCCCCATTAAGGGACTCTGGCCAGCTCAGCCTGCTGTGGGGGTGGGGCTGGCGTGACATGTGGTGCCAGGGATTGAACTGAAGTCTCTGTGCTGGCCTAAGCTTGCCTAAGCTGGCACTTCACTATAGTCCACCTAGCTATCTTGCCAGCCCCTGAAAAGTGATTTTATTAATATTTTTAGAGTAACTTGGGAAAAGTACATACAGATATAATATTGTTTATAATACGGAGAAGAAAGCATCTAAACATCTCAATGATAATAAAACCTAATTTTATGTCAAAGATAACTTTTTTTTTTTTTTTTTTTTTTTTTTTATGGAACCGGAGATTGAACTCAGGCCCCTGCGCTTGCCAGGGAAGCACTTATTCCACTGAGCCATCTCCCCGGCCCCCGATAACTTGTTTTAAAATGACATTTTAAAAGTAATTACAATAAAGTTCATTCACAGGTTATTAATTTAAAAGTTTAATTAAATTTGTCAAATTGTCCTATCTCTCTCATTTGAATTTAATTAGGTTTTCTTTTTACATATTTTCTTTTGTACTTAGAAGTATTACTATGTTGTTATTTTAGGTTTTGTTTACTGTTTGAAAACTTGGTTGTTACCAAGTTGTAACACAGTTGAACACTTTTAAAGAGGGGACATTCTATGGCTGGGGTATAACTTCATTTCAGGTTGCCTTGTTTGTTTAGATGATAAAGTATTAGTTACACAAAATTTACCTCTCATGATTTAAGGCAAAATTTCCTAAATCGTGACTGAAGGCAAGATGGATGGGGTCCTTTGTGGGTAAACGGCTTCTAGGGCTGTTTCTCTCACAGCTACGTCTTTTGCCTTCCCCTTCCCCACCACCACATGCTATTATCATTAAATTATCTACAAGATGATGTCAAAACTCAGTGTCAGAGACACTAATTAGCAACTAACTTCCTCATAAGAATTATGCATAACTGGAAGCACCGGATGACACTGTTTCCCCCACATTTTCTGTGGGTTTTTTTTCCCCTTCATTTAGTAAAATCTAATTCCTCTGTAATTGAACAGCTATTGTAATAAAAGCATTGTTAAGAGGATACACGACATCAGTCCTTTCCAACTCCATTAGAACCACCGTGAAAAGCACATGGAATCAAGATGTGCCCCAAATTAGGATGAAATGGTTTGTTTATAATAATATAGCAATCTTAGGTTGGATTCATAAACCATTGAATCATTAAATTATTTCCTCAATAATAAAGTTAAGTCATGTACAAATGGATAACTAAAGCAAAATGACCACTAATACTATAACACCAACTATAAAATTTGAGCTGTCTAATAAGCAAATAGGCAAAATTATCCCCTCCTATGCCCTCATTGTATTATAATATAAACTTCTGTGAAATATTTGTTTTTTTCTAATGACATTGTGCTTTTTATTACTTTGATTAAATTTATATGCACAAGAGCAGGACTATGAAAATCAATGGCTTACAATGATGAATTGTTCCTTTTTCTTTTTCCTATATTATAAATTCACAGGGAGACAATCTATGTTTAAATACATCCACAAACTCAACAGAAACCCTGTTGGAATTGTCCTGAATTATTTTTTTGCTGACTGTGGCTTTAATTGACAGGGCCACTTCAAAGAGAATTACAGGTACTATAGGCTTCTACCTTTCTATTTACATTCCCTGCAGTAAATATGAAAGAAGAAAAAGTATAAGACCTTTCTTTGAAAGAAGTCTTCCTGAAATCGCCCACTAATCTATTCCCAGAGTCTCAGTCAGAAATTTTATTATTTCACCGCAAGTAGCTACAAACAGGACCTAAAATAAGCTCTTAAAGTATAAAATAATGTTGTGGTTTTAAAAGGTACATATTTTTAATGAAAATGATACAAGATCATTAGAGAAAATTAGAATTTTTTGGAATTTTTTATATAGAAATTTAATTTTTTATCTCTCATCTTATTAAATAATCTTTTCCTAAACTGTTTAATTCAAATGGATTGATGATGTATGTGTTCTTTTTAGAACAGGAGCTGTACAATAGCATATATCTGTAAGTAATAAATGTTTAGAATTTTTATTTTCTAATTAGATATATTAATTTTCTTGTCTTAATTGGATAAAATTGCCAGTAAAATATTATAAGGTAACTGTCAGTAATCATATACTATTGTTATTTAATGATTTATTTATTATACTTATAATAATAAAATAAAACCTTGATTTGTGAATATAATATATTCTGGAAATATATTTGTTAGGCTCTTGTATAGCCAAGCAAATTTTCCTGTAAGAAATAATGGAGGGCTGGCAAGACAGCTGGCGTGTCTAAGCCCCTGCTTGGCAAGTGCAGGGACCAAGTACCACATGCTGTGCTGGCCTGACCGAGGCCCGCTGAGCTGACCACCAAGAGCAGGCATGGTGTTGTCGTTTGTAATCCCAGCACTGGGGAGGCTGAAAATAGGAGGATCATTAGGAGCATGAGCTGTGTGGCAAGACCCTGTATCAAAAGCATAAAAAAAGAAAAGGAATAATGGAAACTCACATGATTTGTTCACAAATCCAAAAACATATGTACAAAATGATTTTAATACTGTGATATAAAATAATGGAGATAATACAAAATACATTTAAAAAATAACCACATTAATCTGCACTTACCTCTGAAAACCTTCATGGCTGCTGTGAGGGAGAGGGGAGACAATTATTGTGCAGGACAACATAAAGTATCACTAATGGAACCACTGCCATCTGTTGCCCCAAAGATATCTTTTTCTTCATGTAATTTTAACAGGGAACCTATCAAATGACACCTAGTTGTGCCTCCTTTTGAGAATTTCATGGAAATGTGAGATTACATTGTAGATAAACAGATTCAGCACTTGCACTGCTGTACCCTAACTTGAGTGCTGCTTTACACAATTTTGCAATATGCTACATTTACGTAGCTCACTAATCTCATTTGTTTTTATTTTTTTAATTTTTATGTTTTAAAGAGAGTTCAAATTAGAATTAAAACAGCAAAAATAACTAGTGATACTGAATTTCACTTAATAAAATAATATGAATTTCACAGTATTTGTTGGAATGCATAGTGTTGTCTTCCAACCAGTTATTCACATTACCAGATTTATACATGTAAAATTGGAACAAGAAAGAAAAAAAAAAAAGAAAGAAATGCATAAGAAATTGAGAAGGGGAAAAGTATACTTAATTGAAAAAAGAAGACAAAACAAATTATTATCTACTCCTTTCCATAGACCAGCAGAAATGTACAGTACAGTTGTCCAAACCATCCTGCTTACATACATAAATAAATCTCTTTCCTCACTCCCTCTCCTAGCCTCCTCAACTCAGTAACATTTTCCTTTTGAATAAATTCATTCCCTTTTGCCAGGATCTATTGTACCCTTCAGATTCATCAAACTCAGAAAATAGCAGCTTCTTATTCCTCTCAAGTTGCAACTTAACACTGGTTGATTAGCATGTCCCCACCCTTCGTCCTCACCACTGTCTTCAGTCTCTGGTAATCACCATCAGTGATCATTTTGTGTGCTTTCAACTTTTACATCATACATAGAACTAAGCTTATGCAGTCTATACAGTGCCTTTCTTAGTTCACTTACCATAGTGATCACCACTGAAATAGGAAGCAAACAGCCCCTCACAAGTGGAAACAAAGAGAAAAGCAAGCTAAACAGGCACCAGAAAAAATGGTGCTCTGTGAAACTACAGAACATGATGAGCCAGATGTCACACTGGGGTGCAGTGGCGGAATGGTGTGTCCTAGGCACACTACCCCTACTGACTGCTGTTCTGCTTCTCTAACTGAACTTCCTGCAAGCTCCTTGAGGGGGAAATACCTCAGAGAAGTAAGATAATGTAAAAGTAAGAACGGAGCTTGATGTGAAGCTCTCAAGAGACTATTAGTTTCTTTCAGAGTTTCTGGCCATGCAGCTACTTTGCTCTCACTCTGGTATCTGAGGTGGTTCTGTCTGGGGTCTTAATGTGATTATCCTACTTCATTAGGTTCCCCGACCAGGAAATAACTGAAACATGACAGACCTCTTCTGAGGGAAAGCTGCTCCTCAGGGAGGACTGGAAGGGCTCCACTGGCCAAAAGTGGGCCCCTGCTGAGCGTGCAAAAACCCTTCTCCATCAAGTGGGAATCACCCTGCACAGCTGCTGGAGGCATCTGCCACTCTCCCCAAGTGGGTTTCCATGGAGTGAAGCAAACTAGATCTGGGCAGACTGAATCACGGTAAGACTAGGGAGACCCCAATTTAGAAGGGATATTGCTGGACTGAGTGTCCCTCTGGGAGGATTTCTCACCCTCCTATGCCAACCTGGAACACTGCAGGCCTCCGCTAGTGGGTGGCATGTTGGTGAGTGAGTGTGTGGGAATGAGATGGACAGCACATTTTATTCTCCAGTCAAGGCACAGGGCTAAGCCACTGCAGACTACCAAGTCCATCCTCATAGGTCCAGGGCAGTACTACTGTGACAGCAGTCACAGGACTAAGAGGGGCCTGCCATGTCTGCAGAGGAAACTGGCTGGAGCCACTTGTGTCTTTCCATTGTCTTTCTCGTGGATGGCTAAAATGGAAAGAGGTCAGGGTAAGTCCACTTCACTTGAATTATGATAAAAAAGCTTCAAAAAAGAGATTGAATGAAACTATGAGTGAAAGCTTACCCCCACCGTGCAAAACTTCTAACCCTCTGTGAGATAGATTGGCCTTCATTTTGTGTGGGTTGGCTGACACAAGCATCTCTAGAAAAGACATTGCTGCTAAAGGTGTGGCAAGTGGTGTCCAGAACACCTGGCCACTTGAATCAGCTCCCCGGCATGGACTGTTGGCTGAAATTGGTAATACCATTCCTCTCTTGGTTGGAGGAATCCCCTTTCTGGAATTCTGATAGCTGTATCTGTGTGTTCAAATGGTTGCTCTGTCAGAAAGAAGCTGGTGGTCCTCTCAGAGGCCAAAGACCACCTTCTCAAGGTGTCACCACCTTATATTGAACAACCAGACCATCAGCCCATGGCCCCCAGAAGGGAAGTACCCAGGCCTACAATTCCCTTGCTGGTCTTTTAACCTCCCTTGCCACCATCCCAGAGGTCTCAGCCCCACCCACTTCACTACATACTCAGGGGTTTATGATTTGGCCCCAGCTGTCCCTCTCTGTCACATCCTAATTTTTTAGACACCTCTGAGGTAACTACTAAGGAGACAGGACAAGTTTCACCTACAGAGGACAAAGGAGCCTCCCCAAATTTGGGTGGATGTATTGTGACTCTAGGGACAACCTATGTTTATCTACCATTCATTTACTACCACTGATCTGCTGAATTGGAAGAGTCAGAAACATACCTACACAGAGCTTCCAGCAGTCCTCCTAGATCTGCTTCAGTCACGTTCCAGACTCACAGACCTGCCTGGCCTGGTCATCCCCAGCTGCTGATTATCCCTTCCAACACAAAGCAACCTCAGCCAGGCTTAGCTGCAGTAGCTAAATGGCTGGAGAAAAATGGCCCAGCTAGTGCCCTTGAGCCAAATATCTATGCTAGCCAACAGCTCCCTTTAGAAGACCCCAACTGAGGCATCAGTGACCAGGACCAAATGAACCAACTGGCAGACTACCACACTGCCCTCCTCCAGGTCCTTCAACAAGGCATCCAAAAGACGATCAACATAATCAAAGTGAGTGAGGTTCTCCAGAAGATGGCAGAAAGCCCAAGTGAATTCCTAGAGCACCTTTGCATGGCCTACTGTGCATACACACCCTTTGACTTTAAGGCCCTGGAGAACCAATGGGCTATTAATCTGGCTTTCGTGAGCCATAGTGCAGGGGGCATCTGATGAAGTCTCCAAAACCTAGAAGATTTTGGGGGCATGAAAACTTCCCAATTATTGGAGATTGTAAATAAAGTCTTTGTTAACTGAAATATAGAAGAAGGCCAGGAGACTGAATGGCACAAGAGAAAAGGGGCTGATCTGATAGGCATTGCCCTAGCTGGAAGCCCCGTGAGGACTCTGGGATCTCCAAGTGGACCTGCCACAAGAAGTACAATTTGAGTCAGGCTGCTTACTAGACTGACCACCCCTCAGAATGAACCAATGTGCATGCTACATGGAAAAAGGACACTTCAAGCAGGAGTGCCCTGAGATCCAAGAGTCTGAGTGCAAGAAGTTTCCTGCCAGCTCTACTTTCAAAAT